TATAACAAGCACAAAATGGTTATGAGGTCAGTCCCAGGGACTGAACCTGTGCTGAATCAACAACAGAGTGAACACTTCATCATGTTGATATCAGGTTATTATTTTTTCTGCATTTAAAATTTTGTTACATTGCACTTGATGATTACTATATATTTGTTACAGACAAACAAAATTGTTATATTTATTTGTATGTTGTTAACAGTACTAAGAATTTAATAGTTTAATAATTTTTATTCATAAAACAAAAAAAAAAGGATTTCTCAAGAGTGTTCAGTATTTCAGATAACGTTAGTTATTTAAAAAAATATATATTCCAGATTTTTTTTTGAATAATCAGTGAAAACTAATTGCCAACAATGTGTCACAAGCTGTTACTCACTACCCAAACTGATCTTTTTTTTGTCTTCATCTTATATTGTTAGAAAGTCTACCATTTTTATCTCTCAAATTCTGATTTGAAGAGTTTGTTTATGATACATGGTTTCATATGTGCCGCATTTAACACTTTCTCTTACGGTTCTGTGGTTCAGAACGTAAGCGACGATGGAGCAGTAGCTCTAAAGAAATTGTAATTGATGAGACAGACTTTGAAGATGAAGTTGAAGAAGACCCACGTTTAAAAAAAGAAGAAGAAGAATTGTCGAAGATAGCAAGTGGAATTGGAAAAGTTAGTATATCACACAAAGAATGAGTTAAGATAATTAATATTTATCAATAATTTGTCATTGTTTTATGCCCCAGAGTTTCTGAATTAATTTCATAATAGGGTAAAATAATTTAAAGAACTTCAGAATAAACAGTAAATTACTTGAAAACAGATGAAACTTTAATGTTCACAATTTGTGTTTAAATAAAGAGTCTTTAACAAAATGAGGCTACTATAAACTATTGAATTTTCAATTGAGGTTACATCACTATTGAATGGTGGTTCGTTAAGCTTTATTACATTTCATATTTTCATATATTACAAATGAATTTGTATTTCAACTGAGTCTTGAACGTAGTGTTACATATTTTAATAGTCTTCACTTCTCTGTTGTCTTCTTTTATGAAAGACTTTTTACAGAATTTGAATTGTGCATGAAATCTACTATTTTAACAAAAGAACTAATTATACTTTTGTTGTTTTTCATTTTCATTATATTGTTTTCGTTTTTGATGTTTTAATTATTTATTTTTCTTCAGTAAAAGGAGGAAAACAGTTGAAACCAAGAAAGCAGTTAGTAGTTGCTGGAAGAAGTTAATTCATCCCATATTTATTTCATTTGTCTCATTGCATTTTTTTGTTGTTTTGTTGAAGATAATGATGATGAAAACAAATATTAAAGATAACATTTGATAATATTTAAATAACCTTTAAAAATGATATTATTTAAAAGAAGTCTTTGAAGCTTATTTTATTGTCTGTGGTTTTACAGCACATTTAAGAATAAAAGAAAATTGGATTACCACTAACTATACAAATGTATCAAAAATCATTTGATGTTGTTACAAAGAAACATACACAGTTATAACTCCATTAAAACTGTTTTAATAAAAAAAATCTTCTATTTTTCTTCAGGTGTTTTTGAAGACTGTGCAGGAAAGAGAAAAGATAAGAGCTTGGAAGAAAAGTCACATTGATCCCCGAAACGCTTCACGTGTTCCTTCAGCTACTCATGAGGTTCCTGTTAAACTGCGCTATGATAGCCCTGTTAATGCTTGTAAGTTTTTCAGTAAGAAATATTTTTAAATGTTTACAAGTATCCTGTCAAGTGGAATGATGAAAAGGTCTTTTAACATATATGTGACAATTTCTGTAAATCATATACTGTCTGATAATGTAAAACTCTCTATTCCCTTGTATTTTAACTTAAATTTATTTATTTTAATCTTTCCATTTGTCTTTTTTATTGACTTGACATTTTACCAGATGTTCCAAGTTAGTTTGTTTGTCTTCATTGTTTTCATTGTTTGCTTACATATTTAATTTATTCATTAATAATGTCATTGTTGAATACTGTCAATATGATATTATAATGTTTGTGTTTCAGAGATATGTACATTTTTCATAACTCTTGTATATACAAAATAAACATTATACCTTGGCTTTAACATGAATGATAGGTATGTGGAACAAGCCAGTTTTATGGTAATTGTGTTTATTTACTGTGTGTACAAGTGGTTGTTGTTTTTTGAATTGACTTGCTTGTGAGTCTAGTTAGTTTCTGTATTCATCCTATGCATGTGTTATTTCTCTGAAAGGGGGCCTAGGGACAACTGGAGGAGTCATCTGTTTTAAACACTTGCACCACTGTACAGTAGTGTGTTGTCAGTCAGTAAAAACTAAAATGTTACAATTTGTACTGTCATGACATCAGTAAAATGTATGCATGCTATGACTCATGAGAAGAATTATGCACTCTGTAGGCTACAAAACAGCATGACATATGAACCTGAAAAGCAAGAAATAAAAATATTTGTTACTCTTAATTTTGGGGGGCTTTATAATGTGATGGTCAATCCCACTATTCATTGGTAAAAGATTAGCCCAAGAGTTGGTGGTGGGTGGTGATGACTAGCTGCCTTCCCTCTAGTCTTATACTGCTAAATTAGGGACGGCTAGCACAGATAGCCCTTGAGTGGATTTGTGCGAAATTCATAACAAACCAAACCGATGAAGAGTTACCACTGAAAGATGCAATAAACCAAACAAATAGTTGCTTTGTTTTAAGGTAACTGTTGAATGAAGAAGGTTAAAAGTTATTTTAGAATGTAGGGAAAGATTTCTGATTGTGAACTGTATAGTTGTAAAATGTTAGTCTTCAAGTCAAATGGTGCTTTTCTCGTAACATTTAAGGTGTTTTGCCTTTAACATACGTACTTTTCTTGAACAGCGTGTGATCTAGTGGTTAGTATAGGTGCATTATTTCCCCGAAAGGAGGCCAAATGCCTCCTGGAGGGGTCACTTGTTTTAACCACTCGCACCACTGTACAGTAGTGTGTTGTCTGTCAATCGGTCAATCAGTAGAGATTAAAATGACGTCACATAAGATTCTTAACGTTGCAATTTGTACTGCCATGAAGTCAGACGTGCACATGCCATGAATCATGGGAATAATTATGCACTCTGTATGCTACAACACAGCATGACATATGAACCTGAAAGCAAGAAATAAAAAATATTTGTTACTCTTAATTTTGATTTTATTTACTATTAAAACAGAACCATTTTGGAGACTGTGCAGAAGTACATCTAGTAATATATACTTTTTTACAAATATGAATTCCGAATGACATCTATCCACTTGTAACCCAGGGTTCCTAGCAGTCCTTAAAAAAAAAAGTCTTAAATTCACAGGTTTTGGTTTTTTAGGTCTTAAAATGGTCTTAAATTTAATTTCTTTGGGTATTGAAGCTGTATCTTTTTTTAACTTTAGTTTGTTCCACACTTGCACCTATGCTTAACAGCATTACAGTACTTTGCAATCATTCTATCTAGGCCTACATGAAACTGGGTGCACTAAATTGAGTTTGCTGTGCATTCTTTCTGTCTAGAACTACTACCTGGACTTAGAGCACAAAATTTAGTTTGGCTTATTTTTTGATAGACATGCACAGTACTGCTGATGCAAATGGCAGGACTAGGCCTGCCATGCTTAATACATTTCCTGCTTGATGATTTTTTTAGTTTTGAAATTTCACTGACTTTTTAGAAGAAGTTGAAGCAAAAGTTCAACAATAATATATGAGTGGATTCTCAATAATGATGTATTTTACATTAATATTCCTCTTGAAGTATTATGTGATCCAATAAATAGCATATAGATACATGTTTACAGATCTTAAATTTGTCTTTAGCTTGATCTTAAAATAGTATTAAGATTAGTTAGATGGTAGTGCTAGAAACTTTGTAACCATACTTATAAATATGAATTCCAAATGCTGCCTTTCCATTTAGTTTGTGACCATGTTTATAAATGCTAGTTTGAGGGTACTTGTTAAGGAAGCAAAAATTGCATAAAGGACGATGTTAAATAATGTTACACTTTCTTCTCTTGCTATTAACCCTTTATCATCTCGACCCCGTATATTTACGCATGTTAGATATCATCTTCATGTGGACATATATATCAGTTTCGATAATGAAAAAACCCTTCACCGGATGATAAAGGGTTAAATCGCTAATGACCTCATTAGGTGCTAATTGCATACCCTGCTTTATGGAAGGTAATAATTGATTCATGTAACTGATTAAATACTTGTGTCTTTAAATTGCCAAAAGTCTATAAAAAAAATTAAATGTGCCTATTTCTAAAACAAGATAGACCATATATATATACCATATTTAAAGGATGTTCTTTATAGATTTGAATATGAAATGCTGCCTTTCTATCTAATTTATACCATGTTTATAAACATGAATTCCAAATGTTACCTTTTTACTTATAACCATGTTTATAAATATTAATTCCAAATGTTACCTTTTTACTTGTAACCACATTTATAAATATTAATTCCAAATGCCACTTTTCCATTTGTAACCATGTTTATGAATATGAATCCCCCAAATACTACTTTTCCACCTATTCGTAACCATGTTGGTAAATCCAGATCCAAATGCTGTTGTACCACTTCCTTTTTTTCACTAAATGTGTGCTTTTTATTGGTTGTTGTTTCAAGTTGTGCTTATATAAATCTGTCTAAAGAGCTGTTATGCAGTTTTGAGGGTTAGTATTGTTTCTGACACAAGTATTTTTTCCTCTTTCTATTGTAGTATAACCATCACTAGTATTTGGTAAGTAATGTGACAAAGTTTTAACTTGTGGTGTTTAACAAAACCAGTAATCATAATACTGAAAGAAAGAAGACAGATCTTTCATGTGCTTTTCATTGTGGCTGTACTTATGAGTTCATATTGCATTCTCGTAATGTTAAATATTTTTAACCATATACGCACAAGTTGGAGTCAAAGTGCACATACAGTGACCTTTTACATTGTGCCATTAAACACTGTATTATGTATTAGAAGTCAGAGCTGTCATCAATTTATTTACCCTACATTGCTGCTGTAGATACGCATTTTGGAGGCTCTAGGAGCTATGCAAATTATACGATTGGAAAAAGTATTTGTATTCTTCTCACAAACATCACTCTGACTTATCAGTCTGAATCAGACTGACCTTGTCAGTTTACAAAGATATTTTGAGTAGAAATAATTCTGTAATACATCTGATTTTTTTTCTGTACAACATACTTTTAAATTTTACTAAAATCTTGCCACATTTCATGTAGTTACTTGTAGTAAATTTGGATTTATAGACGGTGTTCCATGTCCAATATGAGATCGGTTCAATGGACTGACCATGTACTCCTTTTAGTGAATGTGTAGTACGTTTTTAATGAAATAGCTCTTGGGGGTGTGGATAAATTTGTTTTCTAACATAGTATCTCTCTCTGGATTTTTTTTTTACCAAACTATTCTTTCTTATTTTTTCATTGGGAAGCCTTGCTGTAAATTCTTTTAATTTCCCAAATATTCTACGAGTTTTTATGTTAGTTAAGCATTTAATGGCAGATTTTTCTATAAACCCTCAGATTTCTGTCACTGAATTTGTGAATTCTCAAGATTTCATTTTTTAAAGTTTCGTAGTTTGTATTTGGGATAAGTTTTAGTTATGTTTCTTATAAGAAATTCTGCATGGTCAGCTTGCCAATGTTTTCAATTTCTATGGAAGTAAACATTTTCACCTAACCCTAATGCTACAGGTTTTTCTATGATCAAGGGTCGAAGGACATTTCATCATGTTTGTAGACTTACCTTCAAAATTTTATTGAACTACTGTTTTATGAATGTATGTCAGTAAGTTTGGTATCAAATTGTAGATTATAATTCAACTTTTAGTACTATATATTAGTTAATTTCTTAGTTTAAAAGTAAATATTAAAAAACAAATCCTGTATATCGATTTTTTGTGTGTCATGTGGTATGTTGAATGTAGCTTTGGTTCAAATTAGATGTTTGTGATGTCCAAGTACAAAGTATATAGTTTCTTATGAATTAAAAACTCAAATCACCAATATTGACAAGCTAGAATATAAAATAATAACCTCCCATCTTTTCTACTTACTGAGATATGACTACATTTAATGAATCAAACACAGTGGCCCCATCCACCTCTTCCATTTTTCGAAATACTTGCTAACATACACCCGCTTCACTCTTATCATGTTTATAACCAATCAGAAACTCAGAATTTCCTCCACTTAGATTTCTCACATATGTGCATTTTAAAATAACAAATATCACCCTACTAATTCCACTGTAATTTATCAGCCTTACTAATTAAACTGTATTCGAGTCTAAAACAATATTGTTTTTCGAACCTCATTTTCTCTTACCCATTCCTTCTGAGATTGGAAACAAAAGACAAAACTTGGGAATAGGCAAACCTAAAAAAAGTTATTTTGTTTTACATCCTCCACGTACGAAATTCAGCAAGGCTTAGCATGCAAGGTATGGCAAGCGAGTACAAACCTCTTTACAATTGTAACTAGTAGGATCATTGTTTTATATATTTATTTATATATATTGTTCTATGTTTTAAGAAAAATAACTGAAATTTAAGAATTTATTTGTAGATAATATTGCTCAGTGGTGGTTAACAAATGAGAAACACAAATTTCAAACAATGACAAGCTAAAATGTGAAGTAAGAACCTACCACCTTTTTCTTTTGCTGAGATATCAATATATTTAGCAAGCCTACCAAGGGAGCCCCGCCCACTACTACATTCTTTTGAAACCTCTTGTCTACTCACACCTACTTCTCTTAAGTACACATGATTATAATCAGTACAAAGAGCACATTCCAAATAACAGAAACCAAACAGTCATTTGTAATTGGCTGGAAGGGAAAACTTATAATTTGACTGGGAATTTTGAAGTCTGTTCACTATGTTGTTACTCTGAACAGAAATAAGATTTTTTTAACCCACATATAGCCAGATAAATTATTATGGCTTCATGTGTACTACAGTTTGTAATTTTCTTATTTTTTGGTTTTCTAAAATGTATCTTTGAAATCTACAAAAGTTAATCTGTCTTTCCCCTATGCTTGAGAAATTAAACAATGCTTACACTGAAGCTTAGCAAGTATGACACATGAGTACAAATAAATTTTGTAATACCATAAGTACTAGAAATCGTTTTTCTATATATTTTTTATTTATTGCTCTATGTTTTAAGAAAAATAACTAAAAAGTAAGTATTTATAATTAAATGGTAATAATATATTTATACTTATATTCATAAGCACTTACATACTTTGTACACATATACTGCTAAATTATGACCACCCCAGGATGATAACTAATATCCAAATACCCAGCCCAGATTTTGATCCATAAGCATTTTCTCACACTTTTATTACCTTAGACGATTCTTATTCCAACCGCTGTATGGTAAACAAGGCAATAAGTCCTCTCCCACTATGTTTGATGGTGTCACATAAAGTCTTATGGCAGGAGTGGTGATTCATTGCTCTATGTTCAGCAGGTTTCTACTTCAGCTGCCAAAAGTAAAATAAACATAGGAAATAGATATAAAAAAGTTAGAAGTAGAAACTCTCGGGGAAAGTACTTTGGAACTACATGGTCAATACAAGACAGGACAGGACAGTACTACTCACTTTATTTCATATTTTTCAACCGTTAAAGTTTTATGGTGGCCATGAGGTTGGTGAAATTGACTATCCCTGTATAGAGTTAGGGTAGAGAAAATAAAAGATAGAATATAAATCATTTCTGAAAAAAAATGTTTGATATTTATTTTGGATGTTTTAGAGATTATGCAAATGAAATTTGAAATTTTTCAGATGAAGAAAAGAATTTTTAATCTTCTCAATATAATCACTTTGCATTCAAAGCAGTAAACACTCTGACTCCATATATTCACCAACAAATTTATAATAAAAATATTCAATTAGACTTGAGAAGACTCATAATGTTTACTAAGAGCTTGATAAATCTTGTGAAGATACATAAAACATGTTAAAAGTTATAGTATGAAAACTCTAATGGTCATGTGGTCGGTGTAATCTACCAAGGCAGTAGCAAAAGAATTAAACTGATTGGTTGGTTGTTTATATTTTGGAATATTTTCTCCTTTACTAGACCTAAATAGAATTATTCAATTCACTCTTTACTCTTTCCCTATGTCTAAAAGTAAAAGGCTTATTCCTTTTTTTTAAAAATAATGGTTTTTAGTATTTTAGTAACCATAGAGATTATATGTAGTTGAGAATTAACTTTGCTAGAAAAATATCCAACAAAACTATCCCGTCAAGTATCGGTCTTATCATTATGTTCTTGGCATGAACAGTATAAATTCACTCTGTAACAGTTTTCAAAGTTTCAGGTGGATAGACAGTAGTTTTGCTGTGTTTTAACCATAGTATTACTGATAAGGTTTTTAAACATATTTTTTTATAATTATTTGTACACAAAAGTACTTGTAGATCCTCAGCTTTGCTGGTTATTGGATTTCTAATAACATTAGCTATGTGTGTGAAAATATAAATAAAAAATTCTATCAATACTGTAGTTATTACTAGCTGCTACTGGACTTCCCTATGTATTTCGCATAGTAGATGAATGACTTGACCCTTTGTTTTTCTTTTAGTTCTTTTCACTTAGTGTTATGACAGGTAAAACCATATAAAATTACTCAATATGATGCAAAATGGCCCCAACCAGTAATAAATAGGTATTAAAACAATTTGGATATTTAAAGGTTAGTGTATTAATGTGATAGTTAGAAACTACATTAAAACAAAACATGACAGAATAATTGAAATAAGTGTAGAACACCAGTTTCTTAATAAAGTGCATACTTCTCAGCACCATCTCGAGCAACAGATAGACCAAGACCTTGGGAAGAGGATGAATTTGATCGAGGCTCCAGTAATAGGTCATCTCTTGGAAAATCTGGACGCACCACACCAACTTATAATGGTACTATCAAGGTTAATTTTGTTCTTATGATTAAATATTGGTCAGCATCAGGTGTCGTAGTATAACATAAAAACGGATTAACAGTGAAACTGTTTATCTCTGATAAGATATATTAATACATAAAATATTTTAAGTAAAAATGTTCTATGAGGTCTTCATAATGAACCTAGAAATTTTCTCAGCCTAAAAAATGTCAGTAATTTTGTTGGTAAAAATTCTTGTAATTTCATTTTAAATTATCAAAGGCATTTGTTTTGTTTATCAGTTTTAAATGTATTTTTTTATAATTTTAGGGAAAAAAATATAGCCATAGTTATGAAAAAGAAGAAAAAATAAATTAGAAATTTCATACGAAATATATATAAAAAAAATCATTTTAGACCTGGTTCTTGAAATAACATAAAAACTGGTTATGTATTTCTAACTGCTTATATTTGTGTAGTTAGCAAAGTTTACTTCATGTAGGAAGAATGGTATAATGTTTTTAGGGAAAATACAGATAACGAATTAGAGGTGAGTGACTTGTGTCTACCAATGGTTGAATATACAGGAAATCTCTTCTCCAATCACAAACAGGGATAAAACAACCAATCATAACACGCTCTCCATAATCCACCAGAATACTATAAAGACCGACAACACCTCACACACACACACTGATCTGAAGACGAAAGACTTTTGAAACATCATCCTCTACACTTGTGTCTCTACAACAGGCAGTTCCATTCTACAAAGTTTCATCATGAATACTCTGCCTAAACAATCTATCAAAGAATGTTGTCACTGTTTCTGTTCCATCATTGTTGTTACAAATCGCTAACCACAGTAGTACTTAATAAGTAGTGATGGGCTGGGTAAAAATTGGCTGTATTGCTCAGTAGTCTCAAATCTCTCTTATAACAATGTAAGAGACTTTTATTAACACATAACTTCGGTTTTCAGGGTTTTCAAAAGCTAATAAGACCTTCAGTTTAGCCAAAAAACATCAGTAAGGTAGAGAACCGGCAAGTAGTATAGCAACCAAATGTTCTGCCAATTATTCTGATTCTGGCATCAGAATGGCAGCTAGCTCACCGATGCTTGAAGTTGTTGCGATGATTTACACACTAAGATGTTGCATTTTAACTTGGGAAGTGCAGAAGCAGTTTAGCATTTCACTAACTTCAACACACGATGTCAGTCAAGACAATTTACCATGCCATGCTAAAACTGCTGCCTTCATATTAAAGAGGAAAACAAGTAATAAAAAAAATGTTTGAAAAAATAAGGATGATGTAGCCACTGAGTCAATGTTAAAAGCTTATGGTTATTAGTCATTGTAAGACTTTATAGCATTTAATTTTAATTTTTCTGGCAGTTATTTTGATTTGAAATGAATTATTTCAGAAGAAATAATTAATAATCAGGGGTTGAAGGTTGAGCAATCCTCATTCACCCCGCGCGGACTAGTCAGTTATGGGCTTAACTTGAAGTAAAAACAAGAAATGTACAAACAAGCTGTGTAAACGTAAACGGTCGATATAGGACAGATGGTCCATCATGGCAGAGGGGATCTATAAATCCTATGCCAATAATTTGATGTGGGGGGGAAAAACTGGAATACCCCAAGAAAAACCACTTTCACTGGTAACGACCAATCCATTACCAGTGCTTTGTTAGCCAGAATAAATAAGTTGTGAATAAGTGAAGTACAGTGCTGGGGTTAATTAAGTTTTAAATGAGTTACGGATTCTTCTGATGTTTACCAGGGTTTTACTGGGGTTCAGGTTCTGGTATGGTTGTAATGGCGTGAAGTCCTCGGTGTTGCTGGTGTGTGGGCAGAGAGCTAGGAAAGGTTCGTCGGGTAGGTCATGGTTGGGGGAGATGTCGATTACAATAGCGTTAGGTAAGGTTAACGATGAGGGGACAGAAAGTGGGACTGGGCTGAGGGGCGGGTTGCTGGTTTGTTGACTTGCATCACTGGTTATTGGTATCACTGGCGGCGGGGTCTGGGTACCTTTCTTCCTTCTTGTAATGGTGGTATGGGTCGACTTGTCTTGTCTTTCAGATGTGGGTGAGGTTTGAGTTGCTTGGTAAAGTGTGATAAGATGGTAGAGTACTGGTTGGTGACAGTTTTCATTCGGGTGTTGTGAAACGTGGGCTTGGGGGGTGAACTGGTAAAGGTAGGGGGTGGGTGAGGCTTCCGGTATGGTTTCTCTGCTTTGAAGTGGTAGAATTCTAGAAAGCAGCCGTGGGTGAGGATGAAGTCTGTAGTTATTTTGGAAGTAGTGACAACTTTCGTAAAGTGAGAGGGTGAACCTGTTTTCTTTGATGTAATTCGGTGTACTGCCTGGATCTTTGAATTGGTTGTAGTTTTGAGGGCTTGGTGGATTTCTTCTGGTGTAAATTATATGTGGACATTCCTTAGAAATACAGTGTGGAGACTGGCATTGCTTTTGGGGGGTTGGTATGTGACGGGTGGGTTGAAGACCAAGGGTGGCAAAGGTAATGGAGGTCTTCGGGTGTCCTGGGTTGGAGGAGTATACCTCCCTTGCGGAGATGACGGGTGCGCTCAGGAAATACGCGGGCTTGGGGTTTGTAGCAGCGGATAAAGTTGGCGGTGTCCTGCTGCAAGAAGTCGAGCGGTAGTCCATCGATAATTACCAGCGGCATTGGATAGCGGACAGTCTGCTTACTGGCAGGTATCATGGTCAGAGTCGAACTCATTGTGATCGTGCTCGTGAGACGTTACCACTAGGCCTCACCACCTCTGTGGAAATGGACTGATGGACAGTCCACAGGCCCTGGGTACACTGGGGAATTAGGTCAGAGGGAGTAGAGCAATAGAATACAATATACTCATTTGGTCTCAGAGAAACCTTACTCCTTACTCTGTCTCATATGGCTAAACGCCGCTTGTCCCTCTAAGACGATCGACTGACACATAAGCATTTATAGCATATTAAGCTTAAATGTTTTTAGTTAAACCTGAATTCATGCAAATGAAAGGAATTCAACACTTAGTTATAGATAAAAGTTTTTTGGAAAGATTTGGCTACTTATGTAAGGATTTTTGTATGGTTTTGTGTATTAGTTTGTACCTTGTTTCTGTTCTTTTTGGCTTTGCCATCCCTACATTATCCTTTTTTTTTTAATTATTACTTGTAGAAATTATATGTTCTTAACTATTGGATCAGAAAACAAACAAAAACCATGATGGATGTGTAGCTGATACTTACATTATTATATTTGCTATGTTATATATTGTTTTTAATCATGTTTGTATAGTAACTGAAAGTATGATACTTTGTCGTATTTTAAGTGGTGTCTTCACTGCGGGCAGTGCCAAAACCAGGTTATGGCTTTGCAACTAAATCGGCTACTCTTCCTGTTGGAGGTCGAGACTATGTGGTAGGATAAACTTGAGTTGTTAATTCTTCTTATATATTTTGTTTATGAAAAAACGTAGTAAGGAATGTTCCGGGTATACAAAAGTTGTTGATGACTCTATGATAAATTAATATCCTACTTTCAAATTGCTCTCTTCTTAAACGTTAACTTTATAAAAAAATTGTCCTTGATTATTTTCATTTCTCTTCCTAATAAAATAGTTTTACATAACTGTAATGCTTGCAATTGAAAAGAAGACAGTTTATCTGTTCTCTTTTGTTTGTTTTATCAATTTATCTAAAATTGTTTAATTTTCTTTGTATTTATTTAAGCAGTATGTGTTACCATTATGAAATGTTAAATATTCTCATTACTGTGTTCCAGTGACATTTTTTAGCATTTTTATTGGGGGACAATATGGGTGGGGGAGTTAGTTTGTGGCAGAGGCAGAGAAAAAATTATTTTCATGTCAGTGGGAATCACAATATATAGGATTTAAATATCTTAAAAGACTAAATTGTGGTATTTCAGATGGGTGGGCTGCGGGAGGGGCAGGGCAGCGTTAGTTTAATGGAGAAATAAAAGACTAAATTGTGGTATATCAGATGGGTGGGCTGCTGGAGGGGCAGGGCAGCGTTAGTTTAATGGAGAAATAAAAGACTAAATTCTGGTATATTGGATGGGTGGGCTGCTGGAGGGGCAGGGCAGCGTTAGTTTAATGGAGAAATAAAAGACTAAATTGTGGTATATCGGATGGGTGGGCTGCTGGAGGGGTAGGGCAGTGTTAGTTTAATGGAGAAATAAAAGACTAAATTGTGGTATATTGTGGTAGTATCTAAATTGATGGGTGGGCTGCTGGAGGGGTAGGGCAGTGTTTTCTTAATAGAGAAAAGTTAAATATTCTCATTTGATCTCTATTTAAAAGTTGTTGTTTTTATCATTTTTAAAGCAGTAAATAATTTTGACATAACTTGTATTATGATTGTGTATTACTAATTCATGCTCACTTTTTAGATTTTTGATACATTAAGGACAGTTTGCTTTCTTGTTAGTAGAATCACTAAATAAACTTGGCATTTCTAATGATCTTTAATTTGTATTGAATATTGGTAGAGTTACTAAACAAACTTGGTAATTTCTAATGTTCATTAACCCTATAAGCAAGGCCAGGTTGAAATGTGAATTTCATGACATTTTACAGACTTTTTTTTTTTTATTCAAAATTTAACCGAACATCAATGTATGTCAGTGAACTTGGCATCAAACCGTAGTTTATAATTGAAATATTTATATTATCTAAGTTTTCTTTTCTTAATTTCAAAAGGAAATCTTTAAAATATTCTCAACTTTCACTTTTTTTTGTGTCACATACTGCGCCTGTGCTCTGAATCCTTCACTTCTGAATTTTATAATGTCAGTAATAGGCTTCTACAGTTCCAACCAATTAGAAGCACAAACTATACATGATTACAGGCAAGAATATAAAATATGAACCTCCTAACTTTCTGATTTTCTGAGATATAATTAAATTTGTCAAATGCCCCAGAGATGCCCTTCCAACTTTCTCTGTCTTTCAAGATCAGTTACTAGTTGTCATGGCTGATAGATATGTTCATAAGTAATAGGAAGAGCAGGTTCTCCTATACTTAAAGATTATTACAGTTATTTCTTATTGACAGGCATAGGTACATGGTTGACAGTAATTTTCTTTGTTGTAAGCACTGTTATCTTACTCCAAACAGCTAACAGTATCCTTTTTTTAACCTATTTATAACTTAGTTAGAAAGCCAGGTAAATGACAGTAGTTTTGGGACATTTTATTGTAGTGGCTACTAAGTTCTAAATTGTGTCTTTGAAAGATACATGAATTTTTATTTGGACAACCAAGTTAGTGAAAAAAAGTGTGGCCTACAACAATCATACCTTTGAGTCAGAAGTCATGCAGATCAAGTGGTGTTTACAGAAACAGCTAATGGGCTTCCACTGTGATTTACTGCTTTTCACAGATGGAAACAGCTTCCCCTGTACAGAGTCTGGCAATAAAACAATAACATTAAAAGAAAACAGATGTGAAAAAGTTAACAGTTGAAATTATGAAGATAAGTAATTTGAAACTCTTGAGACAGTTACTTATTCAAAGAAGAATGAGAAAAGGTATCATATATTTTACTTCATATTTTTCAACCTTTCATTTCACTATACGTTGATGATTTTGCAACAGTTAGATGTTGGATTTTGAAATGTTCGTTAACTTGTATTTAAAAGATATTGGTATAATCACTGAACTATTGTTCTGTGGAGCTCAGACATTGGCATGAGAAGAAGAGAAGAAAGTTTGCTGGAAAGGATGGAATAGAGAATGTTACATTGGATGATGGGAATATCCTTAAGGGATAGGATTGTGAGAGATGATATTAGAAAGTGGGCTGGGGTATTTAAGGTAACAGAAAAAGCATGTGAAGCTAAACTGAGGTGGTATGGGCACGTGGAAAGAAGGGAGAAATATAACCCAGTAAAAAGAATATTTAGAATGCCAGTCAAAGGTAGATGGAGTACAGGACATCAAAAAATGAAAAAGAAAGATATGCTAGATGAAGACATGAGAGAGATGGGTGTAATGCTGGAGGATAGAAATTATGGGAAAAAAGACTACCCGAGTAGCCGACTCCAAAACTTGATTGGGTTAAGGTTGAATAAAGAAGAAAAAAGATGGTCACTGAACAGTCTTGGCATTCCTAATGTTTGTTATCCTGTTTTAGGTATCAGTATAGGCAAAGAAAAAACTTGGCGTTTCTAAGGTTCACTGATTTGTACAAGTATAATTATATGAGTAAAATCTTTATATTTTATAAGTTAGACTATTGATAAAAGTTATACAGAGCTAGTATTTTAACTGATAATAACTAATGTTTAATTAATTACTTAAATCTCTCACAATCAAGTGCTTGTGGCTGGAGATGGCATTACAAAACCAAGAAACTTGCATAGCAGGAAATACAGAATCTCAAAAGAAATAAAGTTTGGAAAGAACATTTTAATCTTTATATCTTTGTTGGACTGACACTGGAGTAAAGAACATTTCAATCTTAATATCTTTGTTGGACTAACACTGGAGTAAAGAACATTTCGAACTTCATATCTTTGTTGGACTGACAGTGGAGTAAAGAACATGTTAATCTTCATATCTATGTTGGACTGACACTGGAGTAAAGAACATTTTAATCTAGATATCTTTGTTGGACTGACACTGGAGTAAAGAACATTTTAATCATCATATCTTTGTTGGATTGACACTGGAGCAAAGAACATTTCAATCTTCATATCTTTGTTGGACTGACACTGGAGTAAGGAACATTTTAATCTCCATATCTATGTTGGACTGACACTGGAGTAAAGAACATCTCAATCTTCATATCTATGTTGGACTGACACTGGAGTAAAGAACATCTTTAATTTTCATATCTTTGTTGGACTGACACTGGAGTAAGGAACATTTTAATCTTCATATCTTTGTTGGACTGACACTGGAGTAAGGATCATTTCATTCTTCATATCTTTGTTGGACCGACACTGGAGTAAGGATCATTTCATTCTTCATATCTTTGTTGGAGTGATGCTGGAGTAAAGAATATTTCAATCTTCTAATCTTTGTTGGACTGATGCTGGAGTAAAGAACATTTCAATCTTAATATCTTTGTTGGACTGACACTGGAGTAAAGAACATTTGAATCTTCATATCTAGGCATTATTATGACTATAATGAAAGTCATGTGAAATTAGGATCAGTTTCCTTGACATCTGTTCCTGAGCTGGGTTATGCATTGGGGTAACATTTTCAGATCTGTTTGGTCAGATTTTTTTTACTAGTTTAATTTTTCAAAGTTTGTTTTTAGATATTTTAGAGTTTTATGTAGATAGCTTAGAACTGGTTTTTTTCAGGGCTTACGATTTTGGTATAGTGTATGAAAATTTTCCCCAAGTATTGTATTAAAAGACTAATTATATGTGAAAAAATTACTTCCAGGTATTTTTAATGTTCGGTACCTTTCAGTAGTTGAGGTGTGTTTCAGAACAAATCAATGTTAAATACAAGCCAGGAAGGGGAGATATTGCATTACTAATTGCATTGGGTAAGAGATGGATAATGTAAATAGAGAAATAATTTCCAATATTTTTCTTGTGTTTATTGGAAATAAAATAATTGTAGTTTTTGTGTATTTAGGGGGGGGGGTGTTTTATTGGTTAAAATCACAAATCAGAAGCCCCTAGTTGTGTCTTTCGATTCATGTGTTAAGATTACCTGGCATCTGTTGCTGGGCCAGGTTATATGTAGGAGAGACATATTTAGTTCCATATAGTTAGTTTACCTGGCATCACTAGTCTACTCATATCAGTTAGCTATGTTCTAGAGATACATTTTGATTATGGGCATGTTTTCTTTTTCCAGGCTGGTGATTTTAGCTTTGGAAAGTTAATGAACATGGAGAACACAGATTTTAGTAGTGCTAGGTCAGATGGTAAGTTATAAAAAGTTTATCTTTTCAGTGATATGAAAGTAAAAGCACTTCCTAATATCACTCAAATGTCTCTGAAATATATATATATATATATATATATGTATATTCATATTTTGTACCATTTGTTTGTTATTTATTCTACACCAAATATTAACATTCCACCAGGAGGTATTAAACACACAGTATTACAAAGTATGAGTGAGTTTATCTTTACAGTTTTACACAAAGTAACTGTGATGTTTTAAATTTAGTTTATATAAGTCAGTTTTATTTCATTTGTATTAACTTATGGAAAAGTTTTTCATGTGTAATTTTATGAGTTTACATTGATTAAAATTGTTTAAAAGATATTGAAGTAAACTATTAGTATTTAGAATGGTCTTGTTTGTTAATATTCTCATACAGTTCTTGTTGAAAGCTCTTGTACAAGTTCTGTACAACAGTAGTAACCTTTAGTGTGTCATGTGAAGAGCCATTAGATTTACATGTTGATTCAATGAAATTCTGAACTGTTCTAGAGATTTTCTGAGTTTAGTTATTTATAGAGAAAAAAACAAAATTTGTTATATTGAAACAATAATTGTTCTATCAGTGTTTCAACAAAGGAACAATAATTATTCCACCATTGTACCAATATTGAAACAATAATTGTTCAACCATTATACCAAAAGTGAAAAAATAATTGTTCCACCAGTGTACCAACATAGAAACAATAATTGTTGCACCATTGTACCAACATTGAAACAATAATCGTTCCACCATTGTACCAACATTGAAACAATAATTGTTCCGACAGTGTACCAACATTGAAACAATAATCATTCCACCATTGTACCAACATTGAAACAATAATTGTTCCGACAGTGTACCTACAGTGAAACAATAATTGTTCCCTCAGTGTACCAACATTGAAACAGTATTTGTTCCACCATTGTACCAACATTGAAACAATAAGTGTTCCGCCATTGTACCAACATTGAAACAGTATTTGTTCCACCATTGTACCAACACTGAAACAATAATTGTTCCACCATTGTACCAACATTGAAAAAGTATTTGTTTCACCAGTTTACCAACATTGAAACAATAATTGTTCCACCATTGTACCAACATTGAAAAAGTATTTGTTTCACCAGTTTACCAACATTGAAACAATAATTGTTCCACCAGTGTACCAACACTAGAACTTAAAAACATTTCAGTGTTTCCATAGTGCTTTTTAAGGCATGCGATTTTTTAAATTTTCCCCACAAAATGATGTCTCCATATACAATACATTCTCTGCAAGTATGAATTGCATACTCTACAGAAGATTGCTGGAAATAATGTGACCATTATTTCAATTTTAGAAATTATAACATTTATAACACTGAATATTTTATTATTATTTATGACATAACATTTTAATGATTACCTTCAACCATTGAAACCTCATTACCCATCCCTGCTTTATAATATGGTGGTCTACTTTAGACTTTTAATTACAAATCTCTTTTAAACATACGATCTTTACTTAATTTGATGTGTGTGTGTAATTTGGTGTAGTAGATATTAATTGATTGAACATTTCCTCAAAATATTAGACTTTTTCTTTCTACATGCGCACACACACACACACACACACACACACACACATGCAATAAGGGATCCCTCAAGAGAAAAGAAATTTTATTCTATAAATCATTACAGAAGTTTTGTCAGCTTCTATTCCTGGTTGCATCTTGTGTGAGGAAAGAAAAGATAACCTCTAAGCTATAGTTAGTTCTTACAAAATGAAAGGGTTCTGTTGTGGCCTGGTGGTTAACCATTTCCAAATGGGTCACAGGTCAAAGGCCATGTCATCGCATTTGTTGACTCGCATTCAAAATGTTATTGAAATACTAATTTATATACATATGTCATTAAGTTTGATATCAAACTGTAGACTATAATTCAAATTTTAGTATTATATATTATTTAATTTAAAAGTAAATATTAAAAAACACACCTAAACATCGAATTTTGTGTGTTACATGGTATGTTGAATGTAGCACTGGTTCAAATTATATGTTTATGATATCAAAATACAAGTTCTATAGTTTTGTATGAATTAGGAACTCAAATTACTGATATTGACAAGCTAGAATATAAATTAAGGACCTTCTATCTTTTCTTTTTTCTGAATAACCAATCGAAAGCTCAGAATGTCCTCTAGTGGCTTTTTCAGCCATTTTCAAATGTAAAGTTGTTATATTTTTCTTTCGATATTAGACGACATAGAGGTAAGTCGAGTCTTCAGTTTGCTCGAAATTTCATATTTTTTTAGACCCAAATACAACCTTGTTACTAAAATTGATAAATTACAATTGAGTTCTATGGTATTGGTATAGTAATTTATGATTTTTTTGGTTATTCAAATGTATATTCAAAATATAAAACAAATTATTCATTTCACATCCTCCACATGCTAAATTAGATAAAGCTTAGCAACCTACTGCAAGCAGCAAATGAGTACAAAGGTCGGAACTAGAAGAGATAATTGTTTGCTTTACTTCTTTATTTATTTTTCTATTTTTTAAGAAAAATAAGTTTAAGAAGTTATTTGTAAACAGTAATAATCTATATACATATATAATGTATAACAATTGAAATGAGACTATTTTAAAAATACTAGTCCACTAAAACACAACCAAGACAGGTCACCTTATAGAGACTAAAGGTCAGTTTTATATTATTGGATATGGTAACATGAGTGCACGTGTGCTACGTCATTGTAACTTCTGTATTGTTAGCCAGGCAAGGCTGAAAGGTCGATATAATAAAAATAATAAATATATATAAATGTATAATATTATGAGATTTAAGATATTTAGTCTAAACATTTATGTTTTCTTGTTATAATTTGTAGTCATTCTAGAATGAAAGAGGCTAATTTATATTTAGTTCCTAATTTTTTTATGGTGGTTACAAAATCGGTCAAATTAATCAAACCTGTACAGAGATTTGTTACTGAAAATAACATAAAATAAAATGTTTTTTTTTCTTAAGAAACGTTTTGATAACTATCTGGACATTATAATGATTTCTCATGTGAAATTTGAAAATTTTCTGATGCATAAAAGTATTTTTAATCTTAAAATAAAAACTACCTTGCATGTTGGATAGGCAACATGTGAAAAGAAAAAACATTGCTTTAGAAAAAATCAAAATTAAATATCTTATTTTTCAAAAACTACATTCTTATAGGACCTTTCATCTCAGATTTAAAATAATTTAATCCACCAATTTCATTTTTGTAAAGAACTTTCACGTAGCCAAAGCATTAACGAATGTGACTTGCAACCTGTTGGCTGCATATTTAAATCTTGTTACTGAACATGCTTAACATTTTAGCCATGATGGTGTTTTAATGTGGTGGTCGATCCTGCTTTTCATAAGAGTAGCCCTAGTGTTGGTGGTGTGTAAGTGCTGATTATCTGCCTTCCCTCTAGTCTAGCACTACTAAATTGAGGATGGCTAGTGCAGATAGCCTTCCAGTAGCTTTGTGCAAAATTAAACAAAAGAAGCAAACAAAATTAAAGAAATTACCACTGAAGTTGAGGCAATTGTTGTCTATAAACTCATTAATTCATTACTGGTAATCCTTAAAGTACCAAATTCATGAGTAAAATTTAATGCTGTGTTTCAGTTGTCAAAACTTATTTTTTTTTATGTGTATGTTATATTTTGTAATGATTATTAGCATCAAAGAATAATACATTGTCACTAAAAAGTAAAATGTTGTGTACTAAATTGTCCAGAGTTACTTGCACATCATTTAATTTGGACTCTTAATATTAAGAGTATTTAAAATTATTATTGGTATACATCTGTTGATTGTGTGAAATACTTTTTCAATCCCAAGTGCTTTGTTAAACAACAAATGAAAAAACAAAGAAAAAAGCAACTAAGAATAATTTAATGTTTTCTGAGGAATAAAAATGGAGTTTTATTCTTTTACCCAAGTCAGCTTGTAGTTTTATTATTTAACTGACTTGGTGCTGCTGTAGCAAGATGGCTGTTACATCTTTCTCTTGTTAGTTATGTTCTAGGTGTGTTTATATTTAGGAAAATAAAGTTGTGTTCCTCTAATAGTTTCAGGAATTTCTGGACAAGATCAGCAAGAAGTGGTAAGTGTATCTTGCATGGTTTGATTCAAACAAAAAGAACAACCAGAATCATAATGTAGATTTTCAGGGCCATTTTGATGTATTTCATTTTAAAACAATAATATGTAACCATCTAGGAATTTTCAAGACTTACTTAAGGTGAAAAAAATGGGAAAAATTGTTTAAAATCATGAATGCTTCAACCAAAAATTAGACATTAATTTTCAATGTATTCACACTTTTCACTGTGAGGAATAATGAACAAATCAGAGGTAAACTATGTCCCTAAAAATTTTGTCTCTTTAAGTCATAAAATATTATAACTTTTTTCTAAATTGTTTGTGTGCTTAGAAAAGAATAATTCAGGGCCATTTTGATGTATTTAATTTTAAAACAATAATTTGTAACCATCTAGGAATTTTCAAGACTTACTTGAGGTGAAAAAAGTGGATGTTTAATCTTTAAAAAAAAAATATTTTTGAATGTTTACAAAAAAAATAATGCTTTGTTTTTCAAAATATCCGAATAGTACAATTATTTACAAGATTGTTGCATTTCAGAATAATGTGGCATCTTAAGTTTTGGAACTGAGGAATAATACTTTAAAACTTGCTTTTTAATAGAACCATAGTGCAGTCGGTGGTTTCCGTAATACCCCTATCTCTGATGTATATGGTGGTTTTCGTTATACTTCCTACAGTCCTCACTTCAGACGATCTATGCCTAATGTTACTTTTCACTTATCTAATGAGCCACCAAAGGTAAGAAGGCCTCAAATATACTTATGTACTTGTTATATAAGTAAGTAAATACAAACAACTGTGACTACATTCCAATATACTAACTCCAGATATTGGGAAGCATAATGACAGTATGCAGTGCTAAAGTTCCTTTTTTTTTGCAGATTTGTTGTGTTGTTTAGTTACTAAAAAGACTGAATTTACTGACATAAATTATTCAGAAGAGACATTTTGTTTTGTAGAAGTAATGGAAGATAGTTAACATTCATGTATCATGTTGAATGGTGTACTGTATGAGCTGTTTAACCAAGTTTTAATCTCTGCCTTTAATAATTATTTTGAATTAAATATTTTGAACTTAATATTTTACATTTGGGCAATTTTGAAGTAATGCTTAGTCATAGGAGTTGCTCTGAAGGAACAAAATTAATTTTAAGCTTCTATGCTAAGGAGAAAAAAATAGGTGAGTTAGCCATTAACTACTAAATTGTTTGGATAAAGAATTGGGTAACTTGGGCAGAATGCCTGATATAACTACTAACTTCTTTGGATAAAGAATTGATTAACTTGGACACCATGCATGATATAACTACTGAGTTGTTTAGTTAAGGAATTGGGTAACTTGGGCAAAATGTCTGATATAACAACTAACCTGTTTGGATAAAGAATTGATTAACTTGGACACCATGCATGATATAACTACTGAGTTGTTTAGTTAAGGAATTGGGTAACTTAGGCAAAATGTCTGATATAACTGCTAAGTTGTTTGGATAAAGAATTGGGTAACTTCAACAGTATGACTGATATAACTGCTAAGTTGTTTGGATAAAGAATTGGGTAACTTCAACAGTATGACTGATATAACTGCTAAGTTGTTTGGATAAAGAATTGGGTAACTTCAACAGTATGACTGATATAACTGCTAAGTTGTTTGGATAAAGAATTGGGTAACTTCAACAGTATGACTGATATAACTGCTAAGTTGTTTGGATAAAGAATTGAGACAGAAAGTAGATAATGTACTTTAATAGCATGCAATTGTCTCAGAAAATTCATATTACAGAGTTTAGGAATGTTTGAATTTGAACATGAGCACAAATAAACTTAAAGCCTACCAAAATTAGCTGCTGTTATTTTTTAACAAAGTTTTGTAAAATTGGGTTTCATCAAGATAGGGGATGAGTTTTTAATTTGTGAAAGGAATTGTTGAATAAAGAGTAAGTACAAAACTTACTGTGAAGTAGTCATTAATGATTAATAACATATTATACTAGTCCAACTGTGAAGTAGTCATTAATAATTAATAACGTATTTAATTATTCTAACTGTGAAGTAGTCATTAATGATTAATAACATATTATACTAGTCCAACTGTGAAGTAGTCATTAATAATTAATAACGTATTTAATTATTCTAACTGTGAAGTAGTCATTAATAGTTAATAACATATTAAATTAGTCCAACTGTGAAGTAGTCATTAATAATTAATAGCATATTATACTAGTCCAACTGTGAAGTAGTCATTAATAATTAGTAACGTATTAAATTAGTCCAACTGTGAAGTAGTCATTAATAATTAATAACATATTATACTAGTCCAACTGTGAAGTAGTCATTAATAATTAGTAACGTATTAAATTAGTCTAACTGTGAAGTAGTCATTAATAATTAATAACATATTATACTAGTCCAACTGTGAAGTAGTCATTAATAATTAATAACGTATTTAATTATTCTAACTGTGAAGTAGTCATTAATAATTAATAGCATATTAAATTAGTCCAACTGTGAAGTAGTCATTAATAATTAATAACATATTAAATTAGTTCAACTGTGAAATAGTCATTAATAATAAATAACAAGAAATATTGCTTATCTTCTTTCACTCAACCTAGCTGTATCCATATCATCTCCTGATGATTACCAATTATCGCTTGCCACCTGATGTGGATCGATGCCACCTAGAGGTGAGATAATGAACCAGAGTTTATTTCAATATGATGTATGAACCTAAACACTATGTACTGCTTAAAATAGAGCATCTATTTCTTTCCTTTGTTACTAAGACATTTCTGGGAATCTATTTTCCTTTAAAATGTGTTTAATTCATTTTTAAAAGAATTTATTGTTTTTTAAATAAGAAACTGTTTCTTACATTGTAAATTACTAATTTGTCATTAATTTTCTTCAGCATTTTGCAGTCAAATAATTCTAAAAATAAATGTTGTAGGCCTTAAAACAGCAAAAGAATATTGTTTAAATTAGTGTTAGTCAAAACCTAAAAGGAATTCTTTAATTGGTGATTTGCTGAAGTGAGTGTTATCTCTGGGTGATTTTAAACTCTTTAAAGAAACTATTTTATCAATCATTACTTTTTATGATATAATAATAATAGTCTTGTTCATGTGAATTAAATTAGTACTACAGTGAAGTAAGTAGTCATTAATAATTAATAACATGAAACTAATTTTACTGTGAAGTAGTCATTAATAATTAATAACATATTATACTAGTCCTACTGTGAAGTAGTCATTAATAATAAAATAACTTATTAAATAAAGAAAGAATTCTGGTGAGTGAGGCCTTATGGATGGATGTTAATTCCTACCTTTATAAATATTTAATTTGAGTTAAAGGCAATAATGTTATAGAGTTGTATGTCATCATTTTGTATACAGTTAGAAATGTTTACCTTAGATTTAATTGTCTAAAACATCAGTAGAAAAAAAATGATAAGGTTTTTTATATTCATAATGTATTATTTGCTTTTTAATTTACCTGAAAGTCTCTGTGATGTATTTTATTACATTTTATTCTTACGTTAAACAGTACTATTTTTGTTTTATTTATACATAACCTTTCAGCTGTTATCTCCATCTAGTTTTGATTGAGCATGTACTTTCATGCATTTGTAGTTCGTTGTGTGTAACAGACACTACTTCTGGTACTACAGTACTTTCTCAAGTATGCCAGCATTTAAAGAACTGTCAATAGATTTGTTTTTAGACAAGTTTATAAAATTTCTGAACTTTTGGCTTTGAAATATATTGTAGAATAGTCAGCAAAAACTTTTTCATTCATGTTTCTCTAATTAATCAGAAGTGACAACAACACATAATATAGCTGCCCATGTCAGGTTACACTAGTTTCAGCTCCTGTCAGGTTACAGTAGAATCAGCTCATGTCAGGTTACAGTAGTGTTAGATTACAGTAGTCTCAAATCATGTCAGGTTGTAGTAGTATCAGATCGTGTCAGGTTGCAGTAGTATCAAATCATGTCAGGTTAGACTAGTATCAGCTCAGGTCAGGTTACAGTAGTATCTGATCATGTCAGGTTACACTAGTAATAGATCATGTCAGGTTACAGTAGTGTTAGATTACAGTAGTCTCAAATCATGTCAGGTTGCAGTAGTATCAGATCATGTCAGGTTACAGCAGTATCGGATCTTGTCAGGTTCCAGTAGTATCAACTCATGTCAGGTTACAGTAGTATCTGCTCATGTCAGGTTACAGTAGTATCTGCTCATGTCAGGTTACAGTAGTATCAGCTCATGTTAGGTTACAGCAGTATCAACTCATGTCCGGTTACAGCAGTATCAACCCATGTCCGGTTACAGCAGTATCAGCTCATGTCAGGTTACGGCAGTATCAGCTCATGTCAGGTTACAGCAGTATCGGATCTTGTCAGGTTACAGCAGTATCAACTCATGTCAGGTTACAGCAGTATCAACTCATGTCAGGTTACAGCAGTATCGGATCTTGTCAGGTTACAGCAGTATCGGATCTTGTCAGGTTACAGTAGTATCAACTCATGTCAGGTTACAGTAGTATCAACTCATGTCAGGTTACAGTAGTATCAACTCATGTTAGGTTACAGCAGTATCAACTCATGTTTGGTTACA